CAAATAAAAAAACTCAAATTAAAAGAAATAACAAAATGGTACGCCGTGGACGTTCAGCTAGCCCCCCACCATCAGCCAGACGGTAAGTTGCGTTCCGCAGTGCACCTGTAAAAGCGTAAGAAAATCCAATTGGACAAAAGGCACCAAATTGGATGACGCAAAAAGAACACGGGAAACGTTTTGTTTTGTTCTTTGTTGCAACACAGTTGCAACGATGCGCAATGTATTGTTCTGCTTTCGCTAATTGAACTGTGGGTGAATGAAATGTAGAGTAAGTTCTGGAAGTTTCCGTGCCGCAAGTTGTTACGTAACCGAAAATAACAGATAAACACGGAAATCGAGACGAAAACTGTGCAACGAGCAAAGTTCAAACGCGTGACAAAAACAATGCATAAACTATAATTTTGATAAATTTCTTTTAATTTTCTGTATTGCAGCACAGTACCGGCGCCAGCTCGCGCCGCTGCTCCAGCACCGGCTCCAGTGCCCGCACGTGCTGCCGCACCACCACCAGCACCGATGGCGGCACCACCAAGCGCCGTTGGCATGCCAGCACCACAGCAGCCCTCGATGTTCCAGCAAATGGCTGCAACCGCTGGAGGCGTTGCCGTTGGCTCGGCCATCGGTCACACCGTCGGACATGGACTCACATCGCTGTTCAGCGGATCGGGCGATAAGGAGGCCGCAGCGCCAGCCGCTGCCGCACCGGCTGCACCACAACAACAGCAGCCCTATTATGGCCAGCAAGCTCAGGCCAATGAGCCACAAGGCGCTTGCGCCTGGGAGATCAAACAGTTCCTGCAATGCGCTCAGGGTCAATCCGATCTGTCCCTGTGCGAGGGCTTCAATGAGGCTCTGCGACAGTGCAAGGTGCAGCATCATCTGCAGTAAACAACAACAACAAAAACAACAAAAACAGCAGCTCCAATAACAACAACAAATTTAACATAAAAAGAACATAACCAAATCTCATCAATCGTTGGCGAAATGTTGAGCTTGAAGTAGGGTTTTTTTTTTTTTGATATTCTGCGTTTTTGTTTGTTTCAATTAGTTTTACATATATAATTCATGATATTGTTGATGAGACAACAAATTGTTTAATATAGTCAAATTGTTCAATAGAAATCTAGCGCCACGGCGCCCGCCAGCCACAAAAAAACTTCTTGGCTGCCGGCGTCGTTGGCCCCAAAAAAAAAAACATGTATTTTATTTATATTTGCATTAAATTGTGAAATGTATGTTCCATTCGCTGGGCGCCTGCCAAGAGATCAGCCCTCGAGGCACGTGAGCCCCTCAGGAAGGATGACCTTGCACTTTGACGACGCACTGTGTACCAAAAATAGTTGCACTGATTCATGCAGCCGTCAGACAGAGCGAGCGGGAGAAGGAGAGAGCGAGCGAACGAGTGTGGTGTGGGAAGGGGAAGGGTTGCTCGATTCTGCAAACATCGCGTGAGTCGCTTTGTTATTGTTTTTGTTTTCATTCGCTTTGTGTGTTTGCTGCGCCAATTGAGACTTGTTTTGGTGAAATAAATGGATTGGGCCAAGTAAACAGAATCGATTATGATAAACATGTTTACGATGAGAATGACGATGAGTGCAGGTGGTGAGTGTATGTGTGTACATGTATGTAGGTGTGTATGGGTATAAATCATAGTCTGCAATGTTTGTCTCTTTGTCGCGCTCACTGGCGCCCTCTATAGCTAATGTATCTATGTACCTCTCTCTCTCTTTTTCAAAAAATTTCTAGAATATTATGGAAATTGTGGAAAAATATTTTTGGCAATTTTCTATGTACTTAACTTAAAGTCATACAGTTACACATACATATGTATGTTTGCATGTATATTTTGTATATGATATGACTGATATGTATGTAAATACATTTATATAAATATTGTTTAGCTCAGTCTGAGCTAATATAGGATCCAATTGCTTTTTTTT